GATCTGCCTGTTCTGCTCCCCACTCTGTCTCTGGTCAAGCCTCTCGCCACCTCTGGTCTGTACCCCAGTTCTGTATGCACAAATAAATACATCTTTAGAAAAAAAAAAAAAGTGAAACACAAATGCAGAAAATCTACCTCTCCAAGCCACCATTCAGGTGCTCGGCCTGGCTCTGCGTGAGACCACCTCTCCTCTGTGCCCACCTGCCTCTCACCCTCCTGCCCTCCCACACACCCGCTGGCTCACCTCCCTCTCCTCCCTCTCCCGGGCTCCTGGCTTGTCAGAGGGAGCCACTCAGACCTCTTCCAGCTCAGGCGTGGCTCACCCTCAGCCCAAATCACAGAGTGGCCCCAACATCCACATGGCAGGAATTGGTGTGCAGCCACAGGGGTGGGGGCAGGATTCTGCTCCAGGATGTGCTCAGGAGCCATGAGATCAGGAAAGACATGAAAGCAGAGGAAGCTCTGGGTGCCACAGGGACACAGCAGTTCTGGCCCGCCACTGCCAGGGCTAGCCGGCTGCACAGGGGACCGGAGCGAGCAGCCAGCCACCTGCACATCGCAGCAGGTCCTTGCGCTGTTCATGGCCCTGGGTGCGGCTCTTACTGGAAGCACATGGCTTGCCCTAGTCGCTGTTTTTGGCTTGGACCTTTGGCTTGGGTTGGGGGTTGAGTAGTAGGTGGAGGGGTGACTTCATAGTGTGGAAACACACTTTGGGGCTGGGCTTGCACTGCAGTGAGCAGACCTGGGGCCCTGGGTTCCACCAGGCCCTGGGCCCTGCACACTAGCCCAGCTTCCCTTTTTCCTGGTTGTGTGACCCGGGCAGCTGCAGGCACCCAGCTGCTCTGAACCTCAGTTTCCTCATCCGCAGAATAGAATAGGAGGAGTACCTACTTCATAGGGTGATAGAGGGTAAATGAGATAATGTGAGGAAAGCGCTTAGCACAATATCTGGCACATAGCAAGTGTTCAGTAATTGGGAGCAGCTATTATTGTTGTTGCTGTTATTATTATGATTATTATCACACTGCTATCAACAGAGAAAGGCCTGGGGATTCTTTAGCTGAGAGTGGAAGGGTGATGAGTCACATTCGTCAATTCTCCTCAGAGCTGTAATATTTACAGAGGGTGATGACATGCTGTTCTCTGGCCCCACTGAGAGCAAGACCACAAGAAAAAAATAAGTCAGCTCTGCGCTGTGACAGATAGGACCTGAATCTACGGATGGGGAGAGACAAATGGGTGGGGGCGGAGTTTCGCCTGAGCAGGGGGTGACCGAGGCGCCACCACACTCTGAGGCCTCCTCCTGCCCCCAGGAGAGTAGTTGCAAAGTATATAGTTCCTGACACTCAGCTGCTTGGGTGCTGAGCCCCCCACTGCGGTGGATTGACGCAGACCAGAGGCATGGAAGTCCCCCAGCTGCCCCTGCTGACGAATGTGCAGTGTGACAGCTGGAGAGGTTTCAGCCCCGTGGGGGGACCGTGCCAGAGCACCCAAGCCGTGCTCTCTGGCTTGGGTGCCAGAGAGCACCTCCACCACATACCTGCCCCTCCGACACCAGCAGCGCCAGGGCCAGAGGTGGGCTGTGCTGCTCCCACTCCTGGCGCAGGGGCCTTACATACACCCCAGCAGACCACTCGGGCCTGGGGCTTCGGATGCTCTGTCTTGGACGGCAGGGAATTGAGGCTGGAGAAGGCGCCAGCCAGGGGTGTACCACACCAGGGACAGGCATGACCCAGAGGGTCCCAGGAGAGTTACCGGCTAAGAGGTCATCATTGTGGAGCAAAATGAGTGTTTTGGTTGACCAGACCCTGCCCTGCCACTTCGTGGCTGTGGGACTTAAGCCGCCTACTACTCTGAGCCTCAGTTTCCTCATCTGTGACATGAGATAGTAGTGTCCATTCACTAACCCATTCGGTGCT